GAGATGCAGCTGAACCGGTTGTTCTAGAAAAGACTCAGGAGAAAATGGGACGATGGCACGCGATAGAGACATGGCATAGGGAACGGAGAGAGAACATAGCAGAAAGTAGAGGAAAAGAGAAGAGGGAAGAATCGGAAGAATTGGAAGAATCGGAGGACTCAGAGGAGTTACAGGAGGACGAGTCTGAAGGAAGCAGGTCCAAAACTAAGTCTGATGAGGAATTCGAGCAACAAGATGCCGAAAACTTTTTGACATATATGGAGGAAGACTATAGCGAAGGTTCGGAAGGGTCAGATGAGTATGCAGATGATGAAATGGATATGGATGATGAAGGAATAGAGAGTGATGAGGGAAATATGGAACATGCGGAGTTTGCAAACTTTAGGAGTTGCTTTCAGTAGCATGGCAACTTCCCAATCACACAAGGAGAGAGAGGAGCGACTCAAGAGAGAGGTGGAATTTTGGAATGAAGTATGGGAGAGGTGGAATCAATGCAAAAGAATGATTGAGAGAGGAGAGACAATACCGCAAAATTATGAACCACTCTATGAACGAATCAAGGAAGCATCAAAATACGAAGAGAGATGGGACTATAGAAACCACAAGAGAGTAGAAGGTCCAAGAAAATACTTCAGGTACAAGGAGACAAATGCTCCTCGAGGCCAGCTGTACTTTCCAGCGCCTGTTAGTCTCAGGTGGTTTCATGTACGAGAAAGACGGGAGGATCCCAATACAGAAGATTCTGCATCCGAAATGTCCGGATAAGGAATTAAATAGTTTGTAACATCAGGTGACTTTTACGAAATTTGTTTCACTCGTTGCATAGTTCACCAGAGCCGCGTGCTGGTGGCTGAGAACAAAGACAAGCGAACCCCAAAAACATAACAACATCATGGGAGCAGACATTTTAAGTAATGTCTCATATCAAATAACTTCTAAAAAGGCTAATTGTCTCTACAGATTTCCCTTCTGACTCTCTTTACATTCTATTTCATCGGTATCCTTGCAATCTTGATTGGTGCACGACGAGATTGGGGAAAATGGGTGTGGAACCATACCATTGGTTACCCAATCAATATAATCGGGTTATGGCAAGAAGGACAAAGAACACGAATGGAGGAGAGATGTCAACGTAATCAAGTCTCACCATCGATCGAGTCCTTTGAAGCAGTTGTCCCTCGATCCCCACCGACTGTGTACCAGGATAGGCAATGGCACCCAATGTTGTATATTCATGGTCTCACTACAAGCGAGATTAGCCATGAGTACAAATCACCAACGGATGAAATCGAAGAGAGCAAAGGACATCAAGTAAGACAAAAGGGTCTATATCACAATTTCTTAATCATAACCTCTAACAAAAACAGGTCTCCAGACGTTGTCTGTCAGACATGGTCTGAGAAGCATCTGTGGACCCGCGTTTTTCTTTTTTTTTACATTTGTAGTACTAATGGCTAAAGCCGAGAAAAACATTCCTTTATTTCTTTTCATTTACTTCCATCACAGTGTCGACAAATCTGTTTGTCTGCTGTACATCTATCATCTATTGGAATCATGACCACTACATCTGTCACCGTTAAACTTGCCACAGTCCTAGGGATTGTCCTAGCTGTTGTCATCAGCAGTGCGGTTTTTGCCTACATTTGGATTCGTAACCGGCTATCACAGCAATGGACCAGATGGCCCCAGCAACTTTTGGACAGTGGAGATGATTCTGATGACAACATGTACATTCCTTGGGGACACAGCGAGCGACGACTGTCATGTTGATCGAAACTGTATGGATCCATTCCAATCAGACTTGATATCTCGCAAGACCAAGTTCATGAACCTCCTTGAACAGTGAAGAGACCTCCTAGCGATGAGTCTTTGGGAGAGAGTGTCAGGGCACACCCGCCTGACCCGGGCCCACCCGGGCCCACCTGGCCACACCACACCCGCTCCCCGCTGTCTATCCCCCTCCCCCCTCCTTCCTCCCTCCCCCCTCTTTTCCCTTTTCTTTCCCCTTTCTTTATTTCATTCTTCTCATGTTCCTCTTCCTGTTTATTTCTTTCTATCTACACGGACCACCTTCCCTTGTATCGATGTACTATTGACCCGTCCGGCCCACACACCCCGGACGGCCTCCCGCTGTGCCCAGCACGCACGCATGTAGCGGACGCTCTCGGGATCCCCCACGGGGACACCCGGATGCCTGCGGCTGCCTCCGAGGATGACGTGGCACCTGTCATGTGACTCAAGCCGCATGTACATAAATGTACCTGAAGTGGGAACCGAAGAAGTAACCTTCTTCTCACATTCTCCACTTCAGGTAAGTAGTATAGTTTTCCTCTTTAATAATAATAACACATTCTCCACTTCAGTCTGAGTGGCCAGGGACCACTGTCCCGGATCGGGCCCGCCAGTACGCACGCCCGCTCCACACCCCGCGACGGCCTCAGTGCCGGGCATTACCCCCGGGCCCTCTCGACCCCGGACGCGTCCCTGACAGAGAGGTACATGTCTGAGTAAAAATGGAGTATGTCGAACTCTACTTTTTCATTTTTATTTTTATTTTTACACTCAAAAATCCAACAGGGGTTGCACTAATGATGATCCGGACCATGATCGTCTACGAGATCAAACCAACCTTCTTCCCTTCACCATCTTGCACGAAAAGACATGGCTTGGGGAAGTAGTGAGCAAGTAAGGGTGGGTTTGGCTCCATAATGGGCGTTATCCATCCGGATCAGCATGGCAACACCCTTCCATCATTCTTTTCTTCATTTTCTCTTCCGAAAATTTCTTTACAAAAGGTCGATCATGACCTAATGTATAAACACAATTCCACTCTTTGTTTGATTTTTTTTTCCTTTTTTGATCATTTGTTTGATCTACTCTTGCTCTCTTTCTTTAAATTTATATACTCCTCAATTCAAAAACTTCTTTGTTTACATCAAGGTTACAGTACCGATATATTGGGTTATACATTACCTAAAGAAAAGTAAAAATAAAGGAGGCAAAGCGAAAAACATACCTTAGTGGTGCAATTTGCTCATTCAAGGCACATGTGTCTAAGGTGCTATGTCCATCCTAAATCCGGTTATACCTGGAAAAGGCTCAAGATCAACCCAAAAAACCCACAATGCATGAATGGCAAAAGCCAATGCACATCATGGACTTGTCAGGCAGATCGTTTCATGAATTCCGGTCTCCAAACAATGAGAATTCCATGAGGCATTCATGATCTATACCTAATTATGACTGATCGAAATCAAGACATTAATCCAACTTGGAAATCTGTTGATGAATTGTCAAGGCAGTACAAGTGCCCATTGAACTCATCAAGCAGATCGCCGAGGTGGTTAAGTACCATCAGTCGATCGCAGTGGGAAAAATTACATTGCCATCTTGTTGCAATGGAAAAGAAAAACAGTGATCCGGCAGGGCCAGATACACCGTGATGAGTGGAGGACGACACATGTACAAAGTAACAAGGGGAATAGTTGTAAGATCCGAGTGGCAGAGGGAACAAAATAAAGGAGCAAAGGACCTTGAGTAAATAAGAGTCGCATCAGAGGAAACAGGATCGGAAGGAAGTAGAAGTTGCCAGGTAGTTGAGTTGAGGAGCAAGATCTGGAAGTCAAAGCCGAAGGTGGAGAAATAAAGGAGTGGATGCATAGGGAGAGTAAATGCTCAATCGGGGAAAAACCCATAATCCGAGGAGAAGGGGAACTTCAGGCAGTGCACAGGATCCGAACGATAAATCCGTGCGGACATGAGAATACTGAGAAGAGATCGAGAGTTGTGAATCACATGGAAAATTGGCAGAGTAAAAGGCAAGGGTTGATGAGTTGACATGTTGGTAATCAAGTTAAGCAATGTGAGAAGTGCAAGGTGAGATTTGATGGGTTGATGCGACAGTAGTCAGAGCCAGACTGCGAAAAGGATGGAGCATGAGAGATTTGATGAGTTGACTGTCATATCCATCCCCGGCCATCGACTTCCGGTCCCTCCGATCCCTCCGGTCTAACTCCGCTCCTTCCTCACTAACCTCGGAGCTCCCGTATTCCGCAATCCTCTCAGTACCCCTCGATGGTCACCACCCCCTCTTTTCAATTTATTACCTACACCTCCCTAAGTACGGAGCCCCGAAGACTTCCGGACAGCTCCAATGTCCGCTAGCGCACTCCCACCTCCGCTGGGCAATACACTCGCCTGCCCTGCAGAGCCCACCTTCGGGCCTATCCCTCCTTTCCGTTTCTGGGTTATTGCCTGCCTTTCTGCTAACCCCATGACCCGACTCGTCGGTAATATTCAGTTGGCTAATGTTTAACCCTGTTAGCTCCGCTCCGTTCGGCTCCGCCAATTGCGGACCTGTCTTCGCTGTAACCATATATATATTCCACTTGTACATAGGTTACACTCCAGTAATAAAATCAACTAGAGTTACCCCCCTCGGTTCTGATTGCCAGTCAGTAAGTTAGGGCACGGACGTGTCACTAGGCACAGCGCTCTTGGCATAAGTCGCTGAGGCCAAAGCCCTCCGCTACGGAGACTCTCCCTCGTCTCGAATCTGGTCTCTGACATTGACGCGATGATAATCAAGCCAAGGATCTGTGAGAAGCACGAAAATGATGGAGAAAGAAATAGTAGAACAATGGAACATGAGGCTGATTAGTGTAGCGAGAATGAGAAAAGGGGGGAAAGAACTAAAGACGCAATCAAACCCGCGAAAAACGGACAACCAAACTAGACAAGTGAATGAAGGAGACAGGAGAATTGATGATGGAACATGAGGAAAAGGAGTGATAGATGGAAAAACGAGGCTGAGCCGATGGATTGAGAACGACTAGGCCGATTGAACGTGTAACCACCCGAGCATAACGATAGGTTCCCAAGGAGGATGAAGACAAGAGGAATAGAGACATCGAACTATAAAACTGCAGCACCAGCAGGGGTCGATGGCTCAACAAGCCTTCAGCGTCTAACACCTGAACATCTGAAAGAAACTTATCAATATGCAATTCCCAAACACTCAAGTCGTTTTCAAGACCATTCCGGTCATAACTGCCAGCCAGACTCCAGCTATCCCCAAGACCCTTTTCCTCGGTGTGTAGTCATCCACTTAACATGATGCAAGAAGGAACTGACGAAAGAGAATGAAGGAATGGGAAATCCCGAGGAAAGCGAAGTCAACAAAGAAAGTACTACTTTTGGATCCGACTCACCTATGAATTCAGTTCAATGGGAAACGGATTCTGAATTAGATTTCCTTTTGGAGAAAGCCCAGCAAGGATTCCAGAAATGTGACGGAATTAGATCGGATATTTTAATGCATGGGAAGGAAGTATTTGACCTGGCCTATGGATGTCCAAGTGATTCCAGCTCGGACCTACCCACGACTTCTTCTTCAAGTGATCAGCCCATGGGTAGTGCCGCTGCTAAATGGAATTACCGAAACCGGTCCGTTTCCGCTCCCATTCCAGATAAACCGAAATTCCTGCTTCCCAATTTAAAACCGGCATCAACTCAATCATGACAATGCTGAACCCGTTTTTGAATTCACCCCATGTACTCAAGTAGGAGTATCCCCTGCATTTTCTGCTTTACTTAAAGAAAAGATGTGGAGTGATTATAATCAGGGATATCTGAAAGGGGTAAAATTTATTAACATGGTCTTAAACAACCATCTAACTCAGTTAGAATCCGACCTGGATAGAACTTGGAAGATGACCTGGGACTGTCTCAATCTAGTCCAAGACGAAATAGATCTCCGAGCAAATCCGCATCGATTAGGAAGTCTGTTTAAACCATATAAAGTCATGCCAATGATCAAAGATCTTGAAGAGGTAATGGAATTGATCTTCAGAAGGATTCTCTTGGAAGCTGCGATTTGCTCCGAGTATCATGTGGTAAAGTCAATGGAGTTCCATTTATGGAATTCTTGGCGAATACTCCAGGAACATTTGTACCATGCAATGATGCATCTGACTATTCCATGGAAAAATAACCCACTGGCATTCTATTGCGAATTTCAAGATCGAATCTATGGAAGAGTCCAGCAACTCAACTTGGATACATTGGAGGAACTGCAAGTGGCAATGGAAACTTATTGGTTGGATAATAGGGTATTGTATGCAGAAGAAATATGGCCTGTAGAGCGAAAAGAGGAATGGTGGAGGGAGGAGTATAATACCAAGGAATAGTGTCAGACCTGAAGCTACTCCTGGTATTCCCAATCACAAGTATCAAAGGTCGAAAACCTGTATAGCCGCAAATCTATGTTTCCTTATGCAATCTTTTTTTTATGACTTTCTTTTATCTGATGAAAACATAGAAAATTCAAGGAACAAATGGTTAGTGTACCAGACAAGTTCAACCTTGAATAAAAATTAAAACTCGAAAACAGAAACAAAAACATTGCAGAATGAATGACCATAAATGTGCGCGTGTTCCTCTGCAATCCAATATGCTATTCCTCATTTTTATCTTTATGCAACTATGGACTGATTGACAATCAGGGACTATAAAGTGGCAACACATGGTTAAGCGACATATGTGTACTTCTTGTGTTAGGAAAACTATGGAACCTACCTCTCCATATACCACTGATCTGAAAGACAGCCAAAATTTCTCTAGCGACTTATTTCCACCCCGATAACCGATTCAAAAACTACTCCAGTAACACCAAAAACTCAGAAACGAGAGAATTGGCATGAACAACAGGAAAAAAAATCAAGGGTCAATTGACTAACAGGAAGAATGGTTGCAACAACATGGTCGAGAATTAGTGTGAAATTGCAAGGGACTTCAATTATCCCGCTGTGCCTGTTTGTAGGAGAAATAATATTCAAAGAATAAAACAATGATCTATCAGAATAGTCAACAAACAGGTGACAAGTTCAGACATTTGACAGATCTCATGATCTTTATGAGACTGGACAGACATTAGAAGATCATTATAAATTATCTACACCCATGTAGCATGAGATTTAATCTACTACAAGCATGCCTAGAACCTGGCATAGGTGTAATATTCAAAGAATATATCCCTACAACAAGAAAATAGCACATAGACGGCAGAATAAGAAGGAACATTGGGAAAGAAATGTGAATATCTCGGGAACCAGTAAGCTTTTGACTGTAATCCTTTTACCATCTGAAAAGACTGTTTCTAAACTTTATCCACGGTTTTGTTTTATTCTAAAAGCTTCAAAACTGACGGAGATATCGCTCAAAAGGCAAAACACCTTATAATTGATATATATTTATTTGCTAATTCTTATAAAAGGTAATGTGACTCAAGGGAAATATATTGGCGCCCGGAAGTCTGGCGGACCAAATACCATATGACAGAGTATTCCCCGGCGCGGGCGGACAGTTTTTGATCGCATCAGAAGAAGAGAAAATGCTAAAACACCGGATCTTGTATATTTTCCCATGATTCATCAAAACTTTTTGATTTTAAGCTCAAATAAATCGGAACAAAGGAATGATTGATGATCTGGATCTCGGATCATAAGCATAAAGTGATTCAGAAGTCCGCGGATCAGTTAATTAATTGGGAAAGCTCTAGAACATTAGTAATGATGCGGCTTCACAAAAAGGGGTCAATTAGAGAACAGTCTAGAAAGTTCCTTTATAGCCGAGTCATTTCTAAAGATAACCGTTCGTAATTAAGGCGGTGTAGAGCATAGCTTTAGCGCTACAAGACCCCACTAAGATCGGCCCAAAAGAAAAAGAACTGAATTACTTATTGCTGAGTCATGCCCTAAGTCCATATTAAGCTTACACAGCCCAAGCCCCTATATCATTCTAGAACTATCTATAATACAAATGTAGCACATGTAACTAGTGCGAGGCGTGGGAGTAGAGAGGCCTCTGGAAAGCATAAAAGGCCGCCGCTTCTGCCCCCTCTCAAACCTCAGGTAGAAATAAAAGTTTAATTCTCCTCACCAGTGGTTGGTTCGTTTGCTCCAAAAGATAAAAGCAAATATTAGTTGTTAGCTAATATAAAACTAACACGTCACTCTAAGCGTGAGTTAGGGTCAGTTAGACACAGCTGAACAAAAGTGTCATAGTGAGAATTAGTGAGAATTTGGTGGAGGGACTTCTTAATTGAATAATCTCTCAGCAATACTTGGTTATCACACCACAGGAGAAAAGTGAGCGATCCTGAACCTGCTAGATAACTATCACGCACTCTAAGCGATAGAAAGAGCAGTTTGGTCACTCCTGTATTGAGTAACATTTATTGCGGAATTATTTTATTAGTAGTTTTCCTTCAGTAAATTATCAGGAAAATCACATCCTACTGAAAAGTGGTATATCTAGGTGTAATATTGACTAGAAATCATAGTAAAGTCAATATAGAATTTTATCCATAGATGATCTATACATCAGGTGAGATTGTTGGGGGGGGTGTTTATTGTTGTTTAGACAGTGAACAATTATATATTTGGCAACCAAAACACGGTCAGTACGCAAATCAGCACAAACTCTAATATCATTATTGGACGTAGGAAACTGGTTACATAAGGTGATCCAGCTCCGCTCCTTCATCGGAGAGGAGCGCTGTGCCTACATTCGGTAATGCTTAGGAGTCTGGTCCTTAACTTCAGAACAGGAGGGCATGAACTCTGGGGGGTAGTCTAGTCGTCAGTTTTGCACTGAGGTGCCATCAACTATAGTACAGGACTTATATACATAATAGAAGACAAATGGGAACAAAGGGGAAAACCCAAGGGGGACTTACCCACTTGCCAGGTCAGCAAGCTCATGAGAGAATCGCCTTATCAGGCATTGTGGAGTGGGTAGATGAAGGGTGGAATTAGTGACAGCTACTAGAAGTGGGAAAACCTTTGTGGAGTGGGCAGAGGTCCTAGGAGGTCCGTAGTAATATTGGGTAGATAGAAATATTAATAATCGTATAGGATGAGGATAAGAGGTACTGGAGAAGGTACCGGAGATCGGAGGTGGAGGTGAACCGGAGGGTATAGCGGAGGTGCAGGGGGAGGACGGACCAGAGGTGGACTGGAGCAGAGGTGAGGCAGAGTTGTTATGGATATGACAGGTTCGTGCTGAGTCCATGGAGTCACAAACTAATTTTTTGGCTCTACAGGAGGAGCTGTAGAGTGCACAGTTTGGGCAATTCATGCCTTGGAAGCGCAAGAGGATGATTTCGGGCAGTCCTTGACCATATGGCCAGACAAGCCACAAAACATACAGAGATTCCCATCGAAACAGCGCTTATGCTCCTCTGGCATTAGCTTGCCATTTTCACCGAGTTTTGAAGAGAGGTCCGGTTTGGCTGCAGGGCGTCCTTCAGACTTTTTGTGGTCTTTAGGAGGCTTCACAGCCACAGCGGAGGTGGAGGCAGAGGGAGTAGAGGAAGGATGGAAGGAAGTACTTGCCGTTCAGGAGGCAGCAGCCTTGTCAAAGGTAGTGGTGAAGGAGGGCAGAGGTCTAACATGTCGTCCAGCTTCAGCCTTATGCTTCCAATATCGTGCATCAAACATCTGCATGAGTTTTCAGAGGGCAGAAAGTGAAGTAGGCTTAGCGACATGCGAGAAATCATCCTTGAGATGCTCTGGCAGTCCATTGTAAAAGAACTGTTAGAATGGGTGGATTCGGACGACTCCGGAGTGGAATCGGAGACTTAGCATGGAAGGACCTCAGCCTCAGCAACTCAAGCGGAGCGCTGTGCCATTGCTGTTTGTCCATTTGGTCCTTAATTTCACAGTAGGTGAGCAGGAAGTCTCTAGGGGGCATTTCAGGTCGATTTCAGACTGAACCAAAACGAGTATGTACAAGCGCCGATATATATAATGGAGGGGGCAAAAGCACAAGGAAACAAAGGGGAACCGAATCGGAACGAAGACATCCAAACGGGGACAAAGGGAAGAAGGAGCGGAGCGGTACCAAAGGTCATAAGGCAGGACCTATGATACGTCCGAAAGGAGGTAGGGAGGGCAAGGCCCAGAGGGGCAGGAGGATGAGGAGAAGTGGGGGTGATGACTAACTGGCTAGAATGGGAAGAAGCAGTAGTCCAAATAGGGGTGAGGGGTAAATGCAAGAGATACATTACAGGCGGTGAAAGTGCCGAAGGCGATCCACGAAGCTCAGGGGTTGCAGAGCTTACAGAGGTTATGGAGGTGGGGTTGAAAGTCCGAGGGATATTGGCAATGGTGTTTACGTAGTATGAGGTCACCAGTGCAATGGACTAAGACTGAGGTGGAGTCAAAGTCCAAGGTCGGGACTATGACGGAGGCTCAGAGCGAAGGTACGAGCGGTGTCCGAGTAGGAAGTACGGGACAGCGGCGGAAGGTCGTAACTTGGTGGAAGGGTGGCGGAGGAGTACCAGAGGGAGGAGAAAGGAGAAAGGTAAGGGGGAAGGAGTGGCGGAAAGGAGGGTTGTCAGGTCCGAAGGTGAGTATTGGAGCGGATGGGGAAAGCGTAGGAGGATGACGGGAGGGTGGAGGTGTTGTGAAGGGGGAGCGGAGTAGGAGAAGGAGGAGTAGTAGGAGGGTGGCGAGAGGGGCGGTGTTCGGTCCGAGGTGAGTATCGGAGCAGACGGAGATAGGGTTGGAGAGGTAAGGAGGTGTGTTGCCAGGACCGAAGGTGAGAATCGGAACAGCAGCAGTAGGTTATGACTCCGGAGGTGAAGAGGGTGGAGGTCCGGAAGTCGGGTCGGGGTCGGGTATGCATGGATATGACAAGAACCGACAAAGTGCAGGCTCGCCATAACCATGCAACTGCACAGCATATCGATTAAACTCAACAATGTACCTATTGATGTGATGTCTGTCTTTCATACTCAACTGGAGAATCTTGTCTTCAGCATTGCCCATTGGATCATGGGGACCAAAGTTCTCCTTAAGCTCTAAAATGAATTCCCGAAAATTATCCATCCACAAAGGTCAAGTGCCCTCAGGCAACCCTTCCAGAAGGTCCGGTTCAAAACGATCAAGGGCCATCCCCATCAGGAATGACTGTGCGTAAATGATCTTCGAGCAGTCGCTCACAAAGCCCAGGGGGCAGTCCTGAAAGTTCAACTCACACTGGACCAAGAAGGTGCGGAGTTTGCGAGGATCGACCCTGTCAAACTGTTTGGGTTCTCGGACCTTGGTTCGAATGGAGGTGGATGGAGGTTGTACAGGAGTGGGAACCGGAGCAGGAATTGGAGTGGGATGAGTGGTGGAGCGAGCAAGGCTGGTTATCGCCTGTGCTAACTGGGCAGTACCAGAACAGGGACTTGCTCAACTTCATTGTCGTCACCAACGAGAATAGGAATTGGTGGGATAGGGAGGTTAAGGTCAACAAGAGGGATGGGTTCTTGAGGAACCAGCCCATCTTCATTAACAGCCTCAACAAAAACAGCCGAGTCATGCGTGCTGCTGGCTACAACATGGTCAAAATCGGAACCTATAAAAGAGTGATTTGTAACTCAAGAGCGGGAACGTGAATGTCTAGGTTGTGAACGTAAGGAACATGAACATCTTTCGGAGGATGATCGTGAGCTAAGGTAGATGACGTTCATAAGTCATCACTCTCCGGAAGCAAATTCTGGTGAAACTCGCATACTGTTTGACTCTCACCTCAACACCTTTGGGACTAATGCAGTACCACGGAGTTGTAGAAAGAGAGCTACTTAACGACTTCGTGGAATCCAAATTTTATTATATTTTTTTTTCATTGGGCTGGACTTAATATATTTCCTGACGCTGTATTCCGACTCTAAACCCAACTTTTGCAGTAAAAAAAATTCACAAGTCTGATATTTGCGGGCATGGGCAAGTAAAACTGAATTGCGGCCTTTGCCGAATACAAAAAAGGAAACCAAAGTGAACATATCCCTTTTCCCTCCAAAGCTTGTTCATGCCGATACGCAGGAAGCACCGCCTAGCAAATAACCTTGGGGGATACTCTAGGAAGGTAGGGAGTTGTTTAGTTTTTTTTTTTTTTTAATTGACAGAAACTTTATATGCGCTCACCTAGAGAATATGTCTTAGTCCGACACCGACACCCCAGCATGAATGTATGCAGCAAGGAACAGCAAATGACACTCTTGCATATGACATTCTCGATACCGACAATTTCAATATCGAACTAGACAGCGACAGTAGTGGAAGTCAGTCCGGTGATGACAACTTTGATGAAAACATTGATCACACCCCAATCCCTCCTCCGAAAAATGCTCTGTTTGAGCATCTGTCTCAGTCCCAAATAGCTCTGTCCCATCTAGTCAGCAAGCGTGGTGCAATAGCAGGAAACAAGGTCCATTATGCTGGGGCCACAATCAACAGCATCCCAGCAGAGCGGACCAAATATCTCCATGCAGCCAAACAACGGGCTACAAAGAAAAAAGTGAACAAGATGATCCAAAAGACAATGATTGACAAGAGAAAGCAGACTATACGCGATCATTTCCCCCCCAACAACATGCCTGACTCCCATTCCCACTTCCCCAATCATAAACCCATTGTTGTCAGTGACTCGGACACTGAGAGTGATAACAATCAGGGTGAAATCGACAGTGATCTTGATGATTGCCACAGTGTTTTGGGTCGTGATAACTTTGAGATCAATGATGTGTCACCAACCCCAAGCGCGAGTCTGAGTCTACCACCTGAATCACTCACAGCAACCAATCCACAAAGCCCCTATGCCCCATGTCAGCATGCATTACCACAAACAGCTGAACAAATTGGAATGGACTCATTGCATGAAGTAGTGGCAAATGAGGATGACCCCACACGAACTTCTCACTGCCACTCCCATCCATTTGTCCCTCCCCCCTCCCGAAAAGATGTTGACAAGGCTGCTGAAAAAATCAGTGAAATTGTCTGTCCCCGTAGGAAAGGCCCCGGTCATAAGCACACAGATCTGGACAACTTAACGCGAATGAGACTGGAGCAAATGCTCCAGTTGCTCCATCTATACAGCTCTGGCCAAGTGAGTTCACCCAGTGAAATGGGTTGGATCCAGGCTTCAGAGTGGATTGCAATCTCATGGAACTGTGGGCCATCATATGCATCTCGGCTGCGAAAGTGGTGCCGCGATTTCTTGGCCGATTTCGAAACAATCCCAATGAACCCCTATGGAAAGTGGAAGGAATCCATACTTGTGACAGATGAGGATCTTAGACATGAGATTGAGGCTCACCTTCGGAGTCTTGGTCCATACATCTCAGCAATGGATGTTGTCCGGTTCCTGAACACCCCAGAAATGCGTGAGCGCTTGAACCGAGAAAACCCATATCTGTCCGAACAGGCCAACGGTGGCTGAAGGGGATGGGTTATCACTGGCAGAGGGAGAAAAGGGGTCAGTATTCTGATGGGCATGAACGTGAGGATGTGGTGCAATATCGGCAGCACATGTTTCTGCCCGCAATGGCTGAATATGGAGAGTTGATGAGAAAATGGAATGAAAATGGGGAGGAAGAACCTGATTCCACATCAGGGCGTCGCACTGTGGTGTGGTTTCATGACAAATCGATTTTCTATGCACATGATCATCGGAAAGTCCATTGGGTCCACAAGTTGGAGACCGTGAAGCCCTATGCAAAGGGAGAAGGCGCATCAGTCATGATCGCGGACTTTGTCTCTGCTGATTATGGTTGGTTGGAGGGTCAGGATGGTCACAGTGCTCGTGTCATACTCAAGCCAGGAAGTAATCGAGATGGGTACTTCACAAATGGTGATGTGATTGAACAAGCGTCGAAGGCCATGGAGATAATGAGGGAGCGCTATCCAAATGATGACCATGTCCTCATTTTTGATAATGCTCGTACTCATGCCAAGCGTGCTGATGATGCCTTGTCAGCAACAAAGATGCCAAAGGGTCCTAAGCTGGGTTGGGGGGTGTCTGTGACTGCACAGGATGAAAGTGGAGCAGTGATATACCGGCCTGATGGGAAACCCAAAATGGAAACTAAGCCAATGGCAGACACGACTTGGAATGGCCAAATACAACACCTTTATTACCCAGATGATCACCCCAAGTATCCTGGATACTTCAAAGGGATGGCCAAAATATTGGAAGAGCGGGGTTACAATGTCACTGGGCTTCATGCTCAGTGTGATAAATTCAAATGTTGTGGAACAGCAGCACAATGCTGCTGCCGCAACATTCTCTTCCATTCAGATGATTTTCTTAACATCAAGTTGTCAGGGCACACCTGCCTGACCTGGCCCCACCTAACCCGGTGCCCCACCATCCGCTCCTCCCGACCTCCCCCCTCTCCCCCTCTTTTCCCTTCCCTTTCTTCTTCCCCTTCTTTTCTATTCTCTCTCCTCTTTATTCCTTTCTTATCACATGGACGACTTCCTTTGTATCAATGTACCATTGACCCGGCTGCAGTGTAGCGCGCCTGAACCCGGACACACCGGACGACCCCCTGCATACCGGACGCTCCTAGGACCTCTTACGGAGGTACCCGGACGGAGGTGGCTGTGTGCTTGGATGACATGGCGCTTCCCACGTGGCCTTCAACCACATGTATATAAACACAGCCTAAGTGGGAACTGAGAAGCAACCTTCTTCTCACATTTCCCACTTTAGGCAAGTAGCTTACACTTCCCCTGATAATAACAATAACACATTTCCCACTTTAGTCTCAGTGGCCAGGGACCCTTGTCTGCTTCGGGCCTGTTGTTACGCGTGCCCGCATCATATGTACCAGACCCTCAGCCTCGGGCGATACACCCAGGCGCTCTCAACCCCGGGTCAGTCCCTGACAGCAGAAGAAGGTTTCAACCCCATCTCCCCCCACCTCCCCTGCCATGGTGACACAAGAACAGTATGACGACCTGCTGGCCCGGTTCCAAGAACTACAGGCCACTGTGGTAGCCCAAGCCCAGGGCCTGCCCGCGCACGCACCCAGACCACCCAAAGTTGCCCCTCCCCCTTCTCAGGAGTCAGAGAGGACCTCGACCACTTTAAGGCCGAATGCGGGATCTACCTCTACGTCCATGCGGCCGAATTCCCCAGCACCCTCTCCCAAGTCCTCTTCATGCTTTCTTACATGAAGGGAGGGACTGCAGGAGCATGGGCAACGCAACGCACCATGGCGCTACTGAGGACAGGCTCCCCTACACCCACCATGGACGAGTTCAATGCAGAACTTGATGCCATGTTCCAAGACCCGAACCGGGCGGCTACAGCCCGGCAGAGGCTGGCTACTGTCCGACAGGGAAGTGACCCTGTGGACAGACTCATCCAGGAGTTTGAAATACTAGGACCCACTTCGCAGCTAGGCGACGTAGGGCTAGTCGACTGCTTCGAGCGGGCAATCAACTCCCGGCTCCGCGAGAGCATCTACCAGCTCCACCCTATGCCCATCACCTGGGCCGAATGGAAGTGTGAAGCCACACTCCTTGACAGCCAGTGGCAGCACTTCCAGAGGACACAGCCATGCACGCCCCCACCCGGGCCCCCTCCACCTGCCCCACCCACGACCCCTGTAACCCGTCTCAGACGAGAGACAAACCCGCACCCCGAGACCCGCCAGACCCGACGCCTGCACCCGGAAGACCTTCAAATGCTGATGAAGGGGCTGAAGGGCCAAGCGACGAAAAGACCGGAGGCAGGAGGGAAAAGACTAGACCCGGACCCAAGAGGATGCCCGGAGACCCAGCCTGTGAGGAGTGCACACCAGCCACCCACAAGGGATAGCTCACACAGACGCCACGATGTCCATGAGCCATCACCAGCACCGAAGCTCCATCGAGTCATTGCAAAGAAAAGGAGAAAAGGAGCACCCCGAGCTGTCAGGGCACGGCCCTTGACCCCACTCACCCTCAGACACCCTCACCCTTTCCCTAACCACCCTCTCTCCACATTTCCCCATTCCCCTTATCCTTCCCCCCACTGTTTCACATAATGACGCGCACGCACGAACCCGTGGGAACGTTCTGGGCAAGCGACTCGCCCAGAAATGTACAGCCACAACCGTGGGAACATTCTGGGCGAGCAGCTCGCCCAGAACTTTCCCACGGGTCACACCCGTTATGGAAAGTCGGCAGCAAGCGGGAACTGTATAGTTCCTAGGGTCCTTTTGTGTCGGCCTCACAGGGGGCTGAGAAGCTTACCCTTCTTCTCAGCTCATTCCCTGTGAAGGCAAGTGTACTTACCCGCTTTTCAATGAATAGCAGCTCATTCCCTGTGAAGGCTGAGGCCAGTCCCCTCAGCGACTTCGAGGAGTTAGCACCTGGGGAGAGTACCCCAGCATCCACACCCGGCCTCGCCCTCCGGCCACTCCCAGCTGGGGTCCGGATCCTGACAGCAGAAGAAGGGTTAAACCTGACCACTCCTGCTCCGATGTCGTTAGAGGAACAGATCGCTGAGCTTACACGCCAGCTCCGAGACCTACAAGGCCAGCTGGCCACTCAGGGCCAACCTGCAGCCCCCGCTCCAGCTCCTTCTCCATCACACCATGCCCCCGCTCCTAAACCACCTAAGGTAGCTGCCCCCACACCCTTCTCTGGATCCCAGGAGGACCTAGACCGCTTCAAAGCCGAGTGCGGGCTTTATATGAGCATGCGCCACATGGAATTTCGAGATGAGCGCAGCCAGGTCCTCTTCGTCCTATCCTACATGAAGGGAGGCACAGCAGGGCCATGGGCAACCCAACGCATCAACACCCTCCTCGCCCCAGGAGCCCCAACCATCGCCTTTGATGATTTTGCGGAGGAGCTTGACGCCATGTTTGCAGACCCGAATCGGCAGGCCACAGCCCGCCAGAAGCTAGCCTCACTCCGACAGGGAAGTGAGTCGGTGGACAAGCTGATCCAGCAGTTTGAGCTGCATGGCCCGGTGTCAAGGCTGGGAGATGTCACCCTGGTGGACCGATTCGAGCATGCCCTCCACCCTCGACTTCGCGAAAGTGTCTACAGACTCCGGCCTATGCCCACAACCTGGGCTGAGTGGAAGCGCGAAACCTCCCTCTTAGACAACCAGTGGCGACGATTCCAGGCCACCCAACCCCGCCCTCTGATCACCAAACCCTCTCCATTCCACCTTCGTCCCCCCTCTGTACCTACTCCGACCCCAGGTACACCTGCACCCCCGGCCCCAACCCCAGCCCCGAAGCCGGGCCCCCAACCCATGGACCTGGATCGCATCCGCCCCCCCAGAGCTGACCAGAGACGTCCCGGCCCCTGCTACAACTGCAACCGGCTAGGGCACATAGCCCGGGACTGCCTAAGGCCAAGGCCCTACCAGGCCCGGACCGCCTTCCAGGGAGAGGGTCTGGAGGAGAAGACCCGGCTAGCCCCAGAAGACCTCCGCGCGATTGCGGACCTATTAAGAGACCGCCCCCCACAAGACCCTGACGGTGCAGAAGAGGAGGCAGAGGAGGGAAGGCCTGTGGAGGATTTTCGGGAAGACGACCGGTGAGAGATGTGCCCCAGTCATCCCCCAGCGTCACTGTACCCACATGTAGATACCATGGTAACTCCAGAACTACTGCGCAGCCTAAGCTGTACCGAGTGATCGCTAAGAAAAGAAGAGCCACATCCATGAACCGCAACAAAACAGACCCAAGGCAGGTCCCGGCTGAGGTCGCTGTCCCCCCACCCGCAATCTATGTGCTGTCTAAACACCCCCCTCGATCCCTCAACCTCCTAGTGAGGCTGACCACAACTACCTCGCTCACCTCAGTCACCACCTCAGCCCTCCTGGACTCCGGAGCTACAGGAATGTTTGTCAGCCGCGAGTTCGTCCGGAAACACAACCTGGAGACCACCCCCCTGCCCCAACCAATCCCAGTCCATAATGTAGATGGGACTCCAAATGAGAACGGGTCCATCACTGAGGAGGTCGAAGCACTCCTCACTTTCGGGCGACACTCCGAGCGAGCCCGTTTTGCAGTAACCAACCTGGGCCGGCAGTCAGTCATCATCGGCCACTCGTGGCTCCTGCACCACAACCCGGAGGTAGACTGGGCCCGACAAAAGGTCACCATGTCCCGCTGCCCACCCGCCTGCCAGAGTCCTAAGGTGGCACCGGTGACCCCAGAGGACCCCGACCTCCGAGTGGAACCTGGGGATGGGGTGTATGCGGCAGTGATTCCCCCAGGATGGGGACACGATCTGAGGGCAACCACTACCCCGTCGCAGCGAATGGCCCAAGGGGCACAGGACACCACCCTAGGGGACAAACCCTTTGAGGAGGTGGTGCCGGAATGTTACCGGGACTTCAGGGACGTCTTCTCAAAAGAGGCCTTTGATCAGTTACCCCTCCGGAAGCCTTGGGACCACGCCATTGACCTCGTCCCTGATGCTAAA